GAGAGAGAGAGAGAGAGAGAGAGAGAGAGAGAGAGAGAGAGAGAGAGAGAGAGAGAGAGAGAGAGAGAGAGAGAGAGAGAGAGAGAGGAGGAGCGGAACGTGTTCCACGGGCAAACCCTGTGACGATGGGTTACGCCCTTGTATTTTTTTTCCGTTCCTGGTGAACATTACATCGCTCAGAGATTCCATTTGTTAGGGCGAAAAGAAGCAGACAGTCAATCCTTCTTCCCCGTGTTTTTTTGCGGGTAGAGGCAATCAATGCTGCCGCGTTATCCCATTTTCTGTGGACCGGCATTAATGACACGCGGTTAATTGTGGACTTGTTGTCAGCGTCCCCGACTTCGATGAAGTGTGAATTAGACGGACTTTTTGTCATTGTTTGTTCACGACTGATGAAAGTTTAATGGAATCGGTTTATGTCATTGTGAGTTGTTGTCCTTTTCTGTGTTGTCTTTCATGCTGTTAATGCAAATCCCGTAAGTAAGTTGAATGACATGTTTGTATGATAGGTGTGTTCGAACGTGATCTGATGCAATGATTGTAAAAATAACGACGACAAGGTAGAAACTGTTCCAACCCTGACCTTTGTTTCTTTATCCACTTCGTGTCATAAGAGCTACAAGGGGAAAACATCTTCTCAACCCACTATCTCATAGCCTGTAAGTGTGCATGTCACCCCTCCCCACTAATCAATCAATCAATCAATCAATCAATCAATCAATCAATCAATCAATCAATCAATAAAAAAAAAAACAAAAAAAAACAAAGAGTAAGAATAAAACGAGAAAAACACACACACACACACACACACAGAGAGAGAGAGAGAGAGAGAGAGAGAGAGAGAGAGAGAGAGAGAGAGAGAGAGAGAACAGGGGTTGTTTGCATCCACATTGAAAAACGTCACATGAAATGGAAACGCAAGTCATAAAAAAAACAGCAAAATCACACGTTTCGCGAATAAAGAACTCCGCACGGAAAATGGTACACAAGAAAAACTCCGGCCTCGCTGACTAATTACTTATTCTGCTACATGTGCAACGAATCCTCAGCAGAAGTGTGTCGAACATAGGAAGAAGAAGACAGACATTCGTAATACCCCGCCAACATTGATTAGTTCGCCAAACGGCGAAATGATTGACTGGCAGGCGGCACAACCTAGAAAACCCTGACCGCGTTTCGATCTTCATACATCAAAGTGCATCCGCCATGGAATGCAAGCTGCCAAACACGAAGGACGCTCTCACTGCTCCATGCGAAGGCGGAGCGCGTCACGGAGTGCGAGAGCGGCCTCCGTGACGTCGGCCTGGGACACTGGATGGATCAGGTCCTGTAGACCAAGGTCAATCGGAACCGGATTCCCGTTCGAATCGGGTTCCATCAACAACCCCTCGTCCATGTCAATGCAAGCCTCGAGGAGAAGATTGTGCACGATGCACACGGCCATAAACTGTTGAGGGAGGTATTCCGTGTTCGTCTTGTGGTGACGGAGGAATAATCTCAACATACCCTTCAGCCTTCCAAACGCCCTCTCCATCACCCCTCTCGTCGTCTTTTGCCTTGTGTCGAATAGGGCGACGTCCCCGGTCTGGTTGAACCCCCCATAAGGAACTACAATCCACGTACGCGGAGCGTAACCATTGTCCCCGAGCAGGTAGCCTGTAGTTGTGACGCCACCTGGCAGGGAGACCACGTCAGTGTTGAAAATGTCCCCTGCTTCGGCGCGTTTGAAGAGAGATGAGTTCCGCAGAACGCGCGCATCGTGGACGCTACCGGGGTAACCGGCGAACACGTCCAACACGCGCATATCCAAGTCGACGACAACCTGCGCCACCACGGAGAATTGTTGTTTGCGATCGAAGTAGTTCTCGGATGGCGCGTTTGCAGGTTTATCGACATAAATGTGGGTGCAATCGATTGCACCCATGCAATTGGGGAAGCCCTTTCCCGTGAAAGCGCGCAAAATTTGGAAAAGACGTCTGCCTGTCGGCATGGGGATCTTGTCCGGGTAGGCTGCCAAGATGGCGTTGGTCACGTCCCTCACAGTGTTGATGCCAGTCGCCTTTCCAATGCCGAGCGCTGACGTGCTGCTCTCGGAAGTCTCACCCGCCACTCACATATACAGCGCGTACGAGACTATGTGGTCCGGCTGGAGCGGCTCGCGGTAGTGGGTTAGCTGACGTTGAAGCAAAGGAGCGCAAGCGGCAACGATGTCATTGAAGACGGTCCTGGACATGCGCAGCTTGTCATGATAATAGTCCGCTGTCGCATCGTCTGAGATAACGAGGTCATTCCATGTGCCACCTGTCCTGCGCTTTACCCACCATCGTGGAGTCTCTCTCGGTAGCACCCTTGCGGTGATGGCATTGCTGAGGAGGAATGGTGCGTCCCAAACACCCGGTGAGGAATGCACGTCCAACAGGGCCTGCCCGATGGCCGCCTCCCTACTCGCCTTCTGTCTGGCATAACCCTGCCGCGCACTGTTCACCATCTGGAGATTGCGGCACATAGCGACCAATGATGCCACCAACAAACTCTTCTCCTGGACTGTCAGTTCCCCTCCCTCCCGTCCCTCCGCCCCCGTATCGTCCATTGTTGACGAACACCGACTTACGTGTCTCCGCTCCCATGCGCCACGTGTTGCGGTTCTCCTCGCTCACAACGATGGCTATCCTGGCTTCGCTCACTCCACGACGGCTTGGACACCACGTTCGTTTCCCTGCTTCGAGATGGTGGCGGCCGCTGAACACGAGACCGGTTTTTGAATTTGAAATGGACCGGAGTCGGAGAGGCATTCGGGCGGGCGTCCTGGAAGGCCTGCGCCGTTGACCTCAAATCCAAGCCCGAGTTGTCCCATGGGCCCAAAACGGTCGGACAACATTACGTCCAGCACTGCTGCTGGCCGGACATTCCCAGCCGCGGCCGAGGGGTCCGAAAGGCACGACGTCAGCACTTCACACGAAAGTGCGCGATTTCCAAGTGTTTTCCCAAGGGGTAGT